TGACGAGGCCGAAGCTGCTGCTGAAGAACTTGAAGCGCGACTTGTCGAGGTTGTAGCTCTGCGTCGCGGGCGCCTTCTCCTTGAGCTTGCCGAGGAGCGCCGCCGGCGACGACACGTCCTCCTTCTCGTCCTTCGCGTCCTCGTCCTTCTTCGGCGCGTCGCCGATCTGCTCCACGAGGCTCGTCAGCTCCGGCGGGATGAGCAGGCCCCGCGCCTCGATGCGCTTGTGCTGGCGCCAGTCGAGGTAGCGTTCCCAGGTGTGCATGACGAGCGTGAAGAGGATCGTGCCCACGAGCAGCGGGTAGGCGCTCGTCGCGCAGCCCTCCTGGACATAGTACGGCTGCAGCGACGCGAGCGTCCATCTGCGAGCGATTTGGGGCCACTGGTAGATGTTTCCCCTACGATGCATCGACAGTGCGCGGTGTAAAAAGCCCATTGGCCGGCGCGCGATGGCATCCTCAAGTGGGCTGCTTCTGAGCGTCGCGCTTTTCGCGACATACGCGAATGCGTGCACGACGGTCACGGTCAACGCCAGCGACGGCACCACGGTCATCGGCCGCACGATGGAGCTCGGAATTCCGCTCACGGAGAAAGAGACTAATTCGCTTTGGTCGCTCGTGACGACGGCCCGGGGCGCGCAGCTCGGCGAGCAGACGCTGCCCCTGGGCTTCGTGGCCATCGCCGGCGCCTTCCACAACGAGAGCTCGCTGGGCCTCGTCGCCGAGGGCATGAACGAGAAGGGCCTCACGGTGAGCGTGCAGACGCTCCGCGGCGCCGAGTACCAAAAGAAAAACGACGATACGCCCGCTTTGAAGTTCACCGACGTCGCGCCCTACCTCCTCGGGAGCTGCACGGTCGTCGGCGACGTCGCGGCGGCGCTCGCGAAGGTGACCGTCGTCGACAGCGAGCCCATGGGCGACGTCATGCAGCGCGCGCATTGGTCTGTGGCGGACGCGGCGGGCTCGTCCGTCGTCGTCGAATACGTCGGCGGCGCGCTGCGCCTCCACGAGAACTCGCGCCTCGGCGTGCTCACGAACGACCCGCCCTTCGAGTGGCACCTCCAGCACCTCGACCAGTTCGCGGGTTACGACACGCGGGAGTACCAGGCGGCCTGGGGGCTCGAGGCCGTCGACGTCGAGGGCGGCGCGACCGTCCCCGCCGTGGCGTCCCACGGCCTCAACACGCGCATGCTCCCGGGCGGCTACACGCCGCCGGACCGCTTCGTCAAGATGTTCCTGCTGCGCGAGACGGCCGTCGCGCACGAAGCGCCCAAAACGGCCGACGACGCGATCGCCGTCGCCGCGGGCCTCGTCAACACGGTCCACATCGTCCGCGGCACGGTGCCGAAGCTCTCCAAGGTCGACGGCTACGAGTGGACGAACTGGGCCGTCCTCAAGCTCCCCGGGAAGCGGCAGTTCCTCGTCCGCGCGTACAGCGACATGCAGTGGCGCCGCGTGGACCTGACCGCGCTCGACTTTTCGGGGAAGGCCTACGCGGACGTGCCCCTCTACCGCGACCTCGACGCGGGCATCGCCGACGTGGCGTTCTAGGACGCGCGCGTGTGTAAAATCGTCGATTCTGCCACAGGCTGGCACAGCGATCGGCGAAATGTGCTTATTGTCCTGAGCCGCCTCACTCTCGTACCCACTTTCAAACCTTCAAAGCAATGGCTTGCTGGCAACCCTTCGCCGGTACGGGCGCCCGTGCCGCGCCTGTCCTCCCCAAAAGCGAAATCACGCGAGCGTTTCAAAATCGCGAGTGGGGCAAGCCCGACCCACCCAAACAGATCAAACTTCCCCGGGTCACGAAGCGGCGGGGCGGGCGCCTGCACAGCCTCGGCGACGACATCCTCGTCTCGATCCTCGCTCTGCTTCCTCGCTCTTCGCACGCGTCCGCGGATGCGGTGTCCAAGAAGTGGCGCGCGCTCGTCCGGAACGAGGCGCTCGTCGGCGCGCGCCGGGCCTTCGGCGGCGAGGCGTTCGTCGTCGCCGTCGGCGGGAGGGACGATGGTTCAATCCAAAACAATGGTCGCGTGTCGCTCCTCGTCGATGGCAAGACCTGGGTCGAGTGCGCGCCGCTTCCGGACCCGGTGACCATGCACCAAGCGGTCTTCTGCGCGGAGGAGCTCTACGTCCTCGGCGGCAATCACGCCGAGCGCATGAGCTTTGGAGTTCCAGAATCCTGCGGATGCGTCATGATCTTCTCGCCGCCGCGTAACGCGTGGCGCGCGTCGGCGCCGTTGCAGTCCGCTCGGGCCCTGCCCGGGCTCTGCTCGTGTTCCGGCGAGATCTACGTCGTCGGAGGGCTGGACACCAAGCACAAGCGCGGCGCCTGGGCGGGTTCGTACAAGGACATGGGTCACATCTCGAAGCTCAACCCGGATTCTCTCGTCTGGACCGAGCTGCCGAAGATGCCCTATCCGGTGCACGAGACCCCCTGCGTCACCGTCGGCAAAGAAATCTACGTGATCGGCGGCAACGTCGATCTGCACGACGACATGTTCAAGTGCGGCATCGTTCAGATCTTCGATACGGAGGCGCTCGCCTGGCGCGTTCTGGACGTCGAGGCGCCCGTCGCGAGCCCCGTGCCTATTGCGCACGGCTCGACCATCTACTGCCTCGGCGGCGCCTCTTCCGGCGCCCGCCCGCCCCGCGTTCTTGATTTCTCGACGGTGGATGACGAAGACTCGGAGGATGAAGATGAACGCTACGAAAGTCCCTTCCAGTTCCTCACGGACGGTACGCGCCCCGCGACGGCTCAGCACGCGTGGGCCTACGATTCTCCCATGACGGCGGAGGCCTGGGCTCTCGACACGACGACGGGCACCTGGCAGCAGCTGACGTCCGCCCCAAAACCTCACTGGGGCTCGGGTCTGTACCTCGATGGCGGTGTCATCCGCGACGCGCGCGACAGAAAATTGAACTACGACATCGAAACGGACACCTGGTCAAAGAAAGCGTGTCGCGCCGATCTCCTCGTCAACCACTGCCAGTCGGCCAACATCGCCAGCGCCCATCTGCCGTTCTAGGCCCCTCGCGGCTGGCACGAGCCCCGTAACAAGAAGTCGCGCCCCACTTAATAGCGGCCGCAAGTCGCGCCGCCCCGCGCCTAGTTGACCTGCGCGTCCTGGAGCTTGGCCGCGAGGAGGCGCGTCTTGACCTTCGAGGGCTCCTCGCCCGACGCCTTGGCGATCTCGGCGATGGCGAGGTCCAGCGCCGACTGGAGGGCGCTCTTCTCCTGCTTGAGCGTGTCGAGCTCGCTCTCCGCCGCGGACTTGACGACGTTCGCGCCGAACGCGGCCGCGACGACCGAGTTCGTCGTCGAAATCTTCGACGGCGGCAGCGTGTAGGTCGGCGACGCGTAGACGTCAAAGTCCATGCCGTTCTTGCCCGAGATGAAGTCGATGAAGGCCTGGGTGACGTTGGGGATCGTGTGGACCATCTCGTAGTCGAAGGACGGCGTCATCGTCGGCGTGTCGCAGACGTCCGTCGTGTAGCGCTCGAGGTCCCCCGACTCGTTGGGGAAGGAGTAGGACACGTAGCAGGACCGCGCCCGGATCTTGATGGCCGCGTTGGAGATCTTGAGCTTGAACTTCCACTCCTTGCCCAGGAGCTGCGACGGGTCGTCGATCTCGGGCGCGTCGCCCTCGGGCAGCCACTCGATGTTGAGGATGCCGCTGTTGTGGTAGGGCGACGCGGAAGCGACGAGCTGGACGTCGCGGTCCTCGGGCTCCGTCTCGAAGCAGTAG